AGTATGCAATGAAGATTGCCTTTTATATCAAAGAATGCAAAGAAGAAGCAACTCGACATCTCATATTTTTAGTTTATGCTAAACTAGTTTTTATTCTCATAAACGACACCCAACTGATGTGTGTCAGAAGGTCCATAGTGGTGGAGTAATAATTTATTATCTCAGTGTAGTACGGGAATCCAACACACACAAAGTTAAAAAAAGAGTAGTAGGGTGACACACCTCAACTTTTTTACTTGAAAAACTTAGAAAAGGGAAAATATCATGGGGCTTAGCCTATTGAAATAATTCACTATGTGATTGTGAGTACACAAACCCACTCTTCTCTTGAATTAGGAAATATTGAATTAAGAAATTGATTTGCAGCAGTATTTCAACAAACATTGATATAATGGATTTCAAAGGTCATAGTAGATCGTTATGGAGAAAGTAATCAGTCAAGAATGTTATTGACAATGGTTGTAGCGCCAGTAAATCGTAGACGAAAGCCATGATAATAGTTGGTCACACAAACCGTAGATGGTTACTTCAGGATCGTTAGTTGACCTCGGAGGCCTTAATATGGAGCTGTAAGACCTGTGAGCCACATATGTCATAGTTGGTCATATAGGACGTGATGTTGAGTTGTGATAATGTTTATCGACCATAGAGTCTAGAGTTGAGAGCCGCATGATTTTTGGACCACATAGGACATAATGATAAGTCGCAATAATGTATGAAGGCCAAAGAGACAGGAGTTTGCAGCTACATGAGTTGTGTACCATATAAGTTATAGTTGGTTACATAAGTCATAGTGGTGAGCTACGATGACATTTGTAGGTTACAAAGATCAGAGTTGGGAGTTGTATGAGCTGTGGAACATATAGGTCATAGTGGTGAGGTGTGATAATGTGCATAGGTCCTAGAGGTCAAAGTTGGGAGCTACATGAGTTTTGAACCACATTGGTCGTAGTTGCGAGGTGATTATAGTAGCATCAATTGGACGACCTTGCCAAAGTCATTTTAAGCACATCAGTGGTAAGTCATAGTTTATGTTGGACAAACACTCCTAATTATGGAGTCCTGCAGTATCAGACATGTATTAAACGTGGACATGGCTCCATAATTTATATTTTATTTTTTTCTGTTTTGGCTTAAGAGGTCTTAAAATTGTTTATTCATACAATGTAGTTTGTATTGTTATTTGTTTGATTTTTCTTTTCTTTTGGTTTATCCACAATAAGTTGGTTTTTGTATTTCTAGTTCATTTCTCTTTGTTATTACTTAATAAATATTAGGCTTTGAGCTAGGAAAATATTTTGAAGGTCGAGGATATGTTACATTTAAATGCAACTATTGTGGTATGACTTATAAAGGATCATGTTCAAGATAAGAGGTGTAAAAGTAACACACCACTGCATTGCTTCCCTCATTCTTTAAATCCATGATAAATTTTATATTTTTATTTTCTTGTTTACTTTTATTTCATTAAGTTAGAAGCACATAAATTAATTAATTCTTTATTTTTTGCATCCTTGAAAGATATTCCAGTAAGGAATGGCTCGAGGAGAATCCTCAATGAATTTCCCCTCAAAGAGATTTAGAAATTTTAATATGAGAAAAGTTTGTTTGAAGCACTATTTTCCAAATGATGAATAGAGAAGATAGATAAATGTGGAGTTAGCTAAGACTTTTGGATATTTATACAAATTTGGAGATCAAGAGTCTTTACGTGATAGGTGGGAGATGGATCCAAAGATGTGCTGGTTGATTCAAGGAGCATCAACGCTTTTACTTCAAACTATTGCTATAAAGCTTCTTGGACAAGTTTCCTCCTCTTTGTATTCTGAGAGCTATTGAAGCACTTTTTGATTCATACAATCAATGAAGAGGAACAAAATAAATTCACAATGAGCTTAATATTTAGTTTATGTGCATAATAACCTTCGTTTTTTATCAAGAAAAGCTCCAAATTACATGGAAGGTGACAACAAGATGTGGGATGTTGCAGAAGATGGGTTTAAGACCCTCAATGATATGTGAATTTTGGAGATCTCAAACATTTCTCTTTATGAGCGGATTTGGAATCTATGATATTTAATGATGATGTAGATGTGAACTATGAAGTAGAAGTATGTGTCAAAAATGTCAATCATCATTTTATTTCTTTTAATGAATTAATGTAGTTCAGTTTTGATGTAATACAAGATAATAAATTTTAATATGCTTGCATTTTGTATGTCGTAAATTGAAGATATATCTATGAACATCTTAGTTTTTGAAAGTTAAAGTTATTAACTCTTCTCTTTTATTTATTTAGTATATACATATATTTTAATGATTTATATTATAAAGGCTTGTTCGATGTCTCGTGTTCGTGTCATGCCATGCTGTGTTTGTGCAACATAGGCCATAGTGAGCGTGTTGTTAAGAAAGAACTTCAGAAGTTTATTGTGCGGAGTCACACCATACTCGGTGTGCGTTGTTATATCATCTTCGGAGAGCATCGTTGTTACACCATGATCAAGATATGTAGTTACATAGTGAAGTTATTTACTCTGCGCGACATTTCTTTACTCTAGATCCTACAACCTGTCTTCTCAAGAGGATTTATTGCAACGAGTAGGGGCGACCGACAATGACCTACAAGCAGTGGTCAATGGTGGTCAGCGGTTGTGGGAGCGGGGAAGCGTTTGCCTGGTTTCCAATTCAAAATGACATTGAAGTTTCACTTCTGCTTCTTGGACGTGCTCCAAGCCCTGTTCTTTGGTCCCCCTTTCGTTAAGGAAGCAAGACTTTATTAATAGAGTCTGAGAGTGACCTTCCTGCAAATAAGAAAATATTTTTGACCTCTTCATCAGACAACCCGGCGAGGTTCCAACATTCAGACGATATTCTATAGACATTTAACTGACTTAACAAAGTAAAAAATTAGTGATCTTGAGCTCTTTGGATTCATCTCATCCAGACACTCAATCTGACAATGAGCTTCTTAGATTTGAAATCACATGAACTTCCAATTAATCATCCAAGGTTTTCAAAAGTGGCTTAATGACTTTACATAGGCTTGATTTGATTCAGGTTAGACCAATTTTAATATCATTGTCTTCATATCATCGAGCTGGAATCAAAATTTTGAATGAATTTTAATTAGAATGTAAATACATTTTTAAATTATTTCGTGTTTTATGCCATATGATGTACATTTACCTTCAACATAATACTCGAATCTGTAACATATTAATTTCAAATAAAACGAATAGCCTTAAAATTCCCGCTCCGAATGCTCGTTTCACTCAAAAGACAAAATACTATAAAAGAATGTCTAAACCGTCATTTCATCACGTTTTACCGACACAGACTTTTAAATCTCGAGGCTGTGGCATGATTAAATAAACTAATCGTAGAATAAGCCAGCTGTCTTCTTCCCACTTGTCAAAAACAGCCAAAACCGCACTTTCACGTGGGCCGTGCCCACCAGTACTCCTTGACAACTACACTAATCTTCTCCCGCTGTGGCGTGACTGTAAGCCCATCACCATCGTCCATCTCCACATACATCTCATCACCGCCGTCCATCCTCATAACGGTCGGCATAAGAAAAAAAAACCGAATCCTTGTGGGATTGTGGACGAATAATGCTGCGCATCTCAAAAAGGGATAATTACATTCAGATGAATTTAAATATTGTTATTTACAGATCAATTACTGAGGTTATTTTTCTTAAACTATCATTTAGGGTAAAAAAGAAAAATTCTCATAGGAGGCAGTTGCCACTAAAGTTGATTCCTAACGCAGTTTGAGTTCATATTCTAATAATGGGACACCACGTGTTAAGTGGGCCCCATCGTAATATACTAATTTTGGTAAGCCTTAAAAACGGTGGAGTTCATTTAACACATGGAGTCCCATCATTTGACTCTGAATACATTAAGAGTCATGATGTAATATTTTTTCCATTGTTAAACCCATTGTGCTAGCTAACACTATTAACCATCATTGGCTTGTTGTCAGTAACCATTATTAGAGTTATAATATCAAAATAAAATTTAAAAAAAAGAAAAATATTTCAAATAATCTATACAAAAAAGAGGTTAACTTTAAATTACTTTGTATGCAATAAAGGTGAGCCGGATTCTTCCTCCATTGGGCCACAAAATTAAATATTTTACTGGAAAATATATTTTAATTTTTTTTATCTATATATAAATATATGATACATAAAGAAATATTAAAGTTTAGTGGGAGCACGTGCCCTCTCATGCTCTTCACTAAAAATCTGCCCCCATCTCTAATGGACGATGCGATAATTTCTTAATATATACAATATATACATATTTAAATATTGAATAATCTAAACTTAAATTTTTATTTCTATAAAATTTTACTTGTGTATAAATATATATATTTCAATTATTAAAAAATTATAATAATGATACTTTTGATCTAATATGAAAGATTTAAATGTTATAAATGTAATAATTAAAGTTTAAATTCATATCATTATTATTATTTTCACCAAATTGTGTGCTGCTTTAATATTTTTACATATGTGATAATTGAAAAGAAATTTTATCTATTGCCTAGCTCTGTTTGTTCCGAAAAATTCACTTTAATGATATTTTGATTTACTGTATATCATAACAAAGTTAATATTGTTACATACATGTTTCTTCTCTTATCTCACACATAAACTTTCAATACAAATATATAATTAGATGATTTAAAAGTAAATATATTAAAATTAATAGATATCTAAAAATAACTATTAGATATTCACGAATATAGTAGTATAATTGAATTAATAATCCACAAATTAAGCTATAACTCATTCAGATTTTTTTTTAATATCTTATAATGATATCTGCATTAAAATTATTATTTTTAATAAGAGATATGTTCATGTATTTTTTTTATTTTAATTTGCTAAAAAGGCGAAATCATCTTTGTGGCCACAATAAATCCACTTGTCAATCCACCATTCGCTGACAATCCCCTCTGCCCTCTCTCCAGAGGATAACCTCCCCCCACTCCCTTATCATCCCTGTGCACAGAACAACTCCATACTCCATCTTCTCAGCATCTACAACAAGAAGGCAAAGTAGAGAGAGAGAGAGAGAGAGAGAGAGATGGGATTCGCAGGTGCAGAAAGCCCCGGAACCTTTTGGAGTCTTCGTGCTCGCTCTTGCGACGCCTGCAAAGGCGCAACCGTGGCCTCAGCAATCCTTTTCTGCCGCGCGGACGCTGCCTTCCTATGCGGCACGTGCGATGCGCGAGTGCACAGCGCAAACAAGCTCGCCTCCCGCCACGAGCGAGTCTCCCTCTGCGCGGTATGCGAGCAAGCTCCGGCCGCCGTCACCTGCAAGGCCGATGCCGCCGCCCTCTGTTCCTCCTGCGACGCCGACATCCACTCAGCAAACCCCCTTGCCAGTCGCCACCACCGCATACCCATAGTCCCCTTCTTCGATTCACCTTCTGCTAACAGCTCCGCCGCCGGTGACGGCGATCCCGATCCCGAATCTTTCTTTTCTGGCGATGCCGAAGCCGAGGCGTCATGGGTCCTTCAAGATCCGCCGAAGGAAGCGCAGCTCGAGATGCCCAAATCTGCCAACTGTTTCTTCTCCGAACTGAATCCATTTCTTGATCTGGAGTACGCGTCGTCGGTGGACGCCGGGATGTATCAATCGGACAGCGTAGTGCCCGCCGGAGCGGGAATTCCTGCGAGTTTCATGCTCGATTTTGCTAAATCGAAGCCTGCTTACAGCGGCTACAACATCAGTCCCAGCGTAAGCTTTTATCGAGATTGCAGGATTAATTTTATCTGCTCTGTTTTAGGGAACTGTTCTGATTTTGGTAGATAATTATTGCAGATGTCTTCATCGGAATTCGGGGTGGTGCCGGACGGCGAGGGGTGTGCGATGGCGGACGTGTCGACCTGCGGCGGAGGGAGGTCATCATCTGTAACGGCGGTTTCGATGATGGATCGGGAGGCGAGGGTGATGAGGTACAGAGAGAAAAGGAAGAACAGGAGGTTTGAGAAGACGATACGGTACGCGTCGAGGAAGGCGTATGCGGAGACGAGGCCGAGGATTAAGGGGAGGTTTGCGAAGCGGACGGAGATGGAAGCGGAGTTTGACCGGATCTACTTGTCGGCGGCGGCCGCTACGGCGGCGTTCATGGCGGCGGATCCTGGATTCGGCGTGGTTCCCTCATTCTGAGATCTTCTTTGATCTCTGTTTGGTCTGTGATGTAACCCTTTTGTTTTGGATTTTAGGCGCACTTGAAATTGTGACGAGGAGGAGCGCCGTTAGCGGTGAACTCCATTATTTATCTGTAAATTGCTCTTTCGACCCTTTCTGCTTTCCAATTCTGAATCTCGATCGCCAACGTTGGCGACTGACCTGTCGCTAATTCAGGAAGTGTCCGTGCGACGATGAAGGGGAAACGGGAATCGGATTGAGAGTGGAAGGGTTCTTTTTTGTGTGATAATTGACTTTTTTCTGCCAAATAAATTTTATTACTTGCGAAAAGTTGAGTAGTGTTTGACTTGGGCTTAGATTTAAGTTGAATATCTTATAAATTCCTATAATTATGAATTTATCAAATTTTCGTAAACAATAAATCGGTTTCATTTAGTAAATCTAAATTTTTATCGTAAAAGAGAATGCCGAAAAAATTTTGTTCAACAAAGTGTTAGATTTTGTTTTATTTTTTTTTATGATTAATTGGATTTAAATTACATTCATCGCTTCATGCAAAGTATTGTTCTAATTCTCAAACTCTTTCTAGTTCTTCCTCTACTTCTAGTTCTTCTATTTGGAAGGAGACGCCTAAGGTTGCTCCCCAAGTAGAAGATTTTTTGTTTTTGGAGGTTGGTAAAGGGGATGTTGATTTTTGGTATGAGGATTGGCTTTGGAATGGTACTCTTGGGGGCTTCTACGGGGGACCTCAAGATATTAATATTAAGGTTAAGGATTTTTTGGGTGATAACAATTGGAATTTACTGAAGTTGTTTAATATGATACACTATAATGATGCTTCTTTTAATTTCTCATATACTCATTAGTGCTGATATGAAAGACATTCCTAAGGTTAAATGTAAGATTGGTGATTCTATTACCAAAACTTTTGCTAGAATGGAGAAAAATTTTCAAGACTTCGATCTTTCCTGGAATAAATGGGTGAAGCCCTCTATATCCTTTTTTATTTGGAGGGTCTTTCATGAGATTCTCCCTCTTGATAATATACTCAAATTTAAGGGCTTACGATTGACCTCTAAGTGTTATCTTTGCAATAATGATGAGAAAACTCTCACGCATCTTTTTATTTTCTGTAGTTTTGCTAATAAATTTTGAAAAAGTATTTTTGAACTCAGTGATAGAATGAATGTTTATAATGGTTATAATGTCATTTCTGAAATATTTATGGATTGGAAAAGTAAAGGGCATGATTTCTTAATTAACCATTCCTTCTATGTTGTTTTGGTTTATTTGGGTTTCTAGGAACTCTGTTAAGCATAATGGTGAGGTTTTTACATTCATGAAGACTTTTGCGATGATCTGTTCCTATATTTATAAAAGTATTTCTATGAATAATTTAAAAGAGAATACTAATAGATATATGATTTCTGTAGCTATTAATCTTTCTATTTTTTTTAATAATGTTGATAGTTTTTATTGCAATGAAAGGTGGATCAAACCTTTTGTTTTTTTCCTTAAAATTAACTCTGATGGCAGTTGGAAAATGAACTGTGCGGGAGTCGGTGGAGTTTGTAGGGATTGGAATGGTGCTGTTTTATATTGGTTTGCTGCCCTTGCTTTACCTGTTTCTTCAATTGTGGCTGAGGCTGATGCTATTGTTTTTTCATTGATGCTTGCGAGAAATATGAGATGAAATAATATTATTTTGGAAATGGATTCTATTACTCTTTGGAAAGTTTACAGATCTTATATGGTGTGTCATTGGAGTATTAACTTGCAGGTTAAGAAGATCAAATCAATGGCTAAAGTTCTTAATATTTATTGTTCTCATACTAAGAGAGATGGAAATGCTGCTAAGCGAGGATCGTTTCTGAGTGCTCCCTTTATTTCTAATATTTTACCTGATGATCTTAATCGTTTAGTAATGTTGGATGTCTAGTTTAGGATATGTTTGGTGGGTGTGTTGAGTTGTATTTTTTTTAATGTTTTTAATCTTTTGGAAAGAAGACTCTTTTTCTTTTTCTTTTGGGTTTTTAGTGTGTGTGTGTGGAACCTCTTTCTCGGTTTTGTATTTTTTTTTTAGGAAATAAAATGAGAACCTGTGCTCTTTATTAACAAATAAAAAAAGTAAATTCATCGCTAAATCTTTTTAATATTATGCTACCAAACATCGTCTTAAAGAACAAACGCAATCTCAAAAACAATAAACTTAGGGGTGTTTGGCAACTAAGATTTATTTTTGGCTTTATGAAATAATGGTCGAGCTTCATAAACTTATAAATTTTCACCTCTAAGGTCTCGAATTTTAAGTTCAATTCAATTTAAATTTGGATTTACTAAAACAAGAAGAGGATGAATTTAGATTTACTAAATCCAACTAATTTAAATCTCGCTGGCAGCCAAACACCCCCATTATTCCCTCTCAATTCTTACAACTAATAATATTATATAAGTAACTTTTTTTTTGTCTCATATGTCATATAAGTATTCATAAAATAATAATTAAAGCAATTTTATAAAAGTAAAAAATAAAAATCATTTTTGGAGGTTTGCGACATTGACCATGAGAAAAGTCTTATCCCCTCGTTTATCTAATTTGCTTCCACATCAAACTCTTTATTATAGTATATATCAATTGAAAGTCAAATGAATAGGACTCTTCATTGCTTTCAACTAGTTCAAGCAAAAGGTTTTAATAGTTTTGATTGTGTCATAGGAGTAGGAATTTTTCGTTAGATGATGGTTATCACTTATCGGTTTATAATTTTATTATTATTAAGAATTGTAGTTGGAGTTTGTGGTAATCATTAGTTTATGTTATGGTAGAGGACATTTTAGTTTTTTTTTTTTTTTTTTTTGTTCCTAGGTAAAGAAGAGCCTGCGGTGGAAAATTATACCCTCAACCTCAATGTTTCGGATACGTGCGCTCAGAAAGAATTTATTGAGCATCGTTTACATTTCATCATGTTCGGAGTCTAGCTTGACTTCACGGCTGAATATGTTGCAGGCAGCGGTTTTTTGAGGCATTTTCGAGCGATAATGTAAAAATCAAATCAAATTAGACATTTGTATTGGTGGAAACATAAACAAGTTGTTAACTTGATTTATGCTAAATTTTTAAGAATATGTGGGTGACGCCTAAATCTTTTTTATGCAAAAACAAAAAAAAGAGAAAATAAAAGAAAACAAGTTTATTAATATATGAGAAGAAAGGATAACAATCAGATGAAATATGATTCTTATTATTTCCTTAAGCATTACATAGATTTGGATTATATAAACCTTTAAAAGGTCAAACAAGTAAATACAAGTAAAGGGTAGACAGATAAAATAGCTACAAGTATAATATATATATACTAATATGTATCATGTTAAATGCAAATGAGTTGAAGGCTGAGGGTCTGTTTGGGGCAGCTGTAGCTTATTGAATAGTCTGCTGATAAGTTGATTAAAAATAATCTTCTGATAAGCTAGGTGCGAAGACTATTACAATCTTTTATTTTTTTTTTTGGAAAAACCATACTGCAGCCAGAAAGTGGCCAAGATGCGCAGTGAAAATGTTGTTTTCAGCATTTTGAAAACGCATTAGCAGTGTTTCCGTTTTAATTTTCTCTTTTTTTATTTTAAAAAGGAGTCGTCAGCTTGTCGATCGTCGTATACTTCCTCATTCGAATAAATCTCCATCTCGAAACATATAAATGATTCGAACAGGAGAGGAATTGAATAAGAAGGGACATACGACAAAGAGACAAACAAGAGAAAAAGTAAAATGTGGAGAGTCTACGTGCGATAAACCTCGCAAGGATATTTTAAGAATGTCCGCCCAAACAAGATCAGGCGGATGCAACTTAAACCAATATCCGCGAAAGAAGTATCTACATAGACTACCTATAACCAGAGAGTCAGGTGTATGTATCTGTTATGAGGTCAAGAGCACTCCCAGAGGAACGTGTTCCTACTGGTTAATTACATGTTGGGGGATACCCAAGAATACTCTCGATAAAAGGAGTTTCACTTCATATTATCATAAACCTGGGGTATAGGCAACCAAAGGAAGGTTATTCCATGTGGGAACAGTCCCAATGCTTCAAAGCTCACGCTAAACAATTGGGCAGAGAATGAGTCTCTGACATCCCAGAATGGATAGCGGCTTATCAGCACATGGAGCTCACGAAATAACCTAAATCATCTTAACGGGGATCTCCCAATACGTCAAAGCACATCCGGGCCAAAGGGCAGAGGACAGATCGTCGTATCCCAAATGGGTGGCAGCTCATCGGCATCGGGTCGTCAAGGTGATATCAACGAGGTCAAGGAGCGACAGGGCTCAAAGGGTCTCAACAAAAAGGAAAGTAGCGTGATCCTAAAAGGTAGAGGTAACTGGGTCGGGGTACCACGGACCCGTCATACACAGCTACTAGGACCCTAAGTCTACCTGGTCGTGAAGGTAGTCGACCCAACACGTCCTAAAATCCCCGGTCAGCAATCCTTGAATTGCATCATCCACGGAAACCTCGGTAGCCCTAAGGTCAAAGGAAAGAAACTCTATCATATGACTACAAGCTGGAGCTCCAAGAGGTGGGACTTATACTTGCTGAAATAGCAATGATGCCTCGAGAAAGAAAGAGAAAGTGGAGGTTCAGCTACAAAGCTGGAAACGCTCCAAACAAAAGGACTTACACCCCGTCTGGGTCGAGGAGTCTTCTAACACCCTAGGCGCACTAGATAACCACCTATATGAAGGTATGTTGGGCCAGTCAGGTTGGAAAAGTACGAGGACTCCTCCTCGGGACATGCAAACATGAATGCAGTTATCTAAAATGATCCTAATTTTTAAATCTTGAATATTTAATCTTAAATTTTAATTATCTTGAATATTTTATTTAGGATTTTGTAAAAAATTACGGTTTTAGGGTCCTTAATGAACCTATGTTGTATCGTGAAATCCCAGATAAAACATAGAAAGAAAACAAGAAAAACACATGCAAGTGCAGACATTCAACATGATGCAAAAATAAAGCAAAGCAAGTCAAACCAAAATAATAAACAGGAGGGCGGCCGGACTCCGCATATACATGCCCGGTCCTAATTCTATACATCAATATCAAATGCAGAATTAAGATACGGGGCACGAGCATATGCTCCTGGTCCCCTCCATGTGGTTCTCGTGCTAACGACTCGGAACCCGTGCCCGTATCTTATTTCCGCTACAGGACTCTTCTAGACTCTAAAAAAAATACATAGAGAAAAGAAAAGAAGACTCAATCCTGCATGGAAACAAGTGTCAGCGAGAAAATCACATGCACATAACGTATCGTGAGTCATGTCTTA